CGTGGGAGCGGTTCGGCGCGCTGGTGCCGCGGCGGTTCTCGCGCGTCCGCCGCCCTTTGAGGCCCCTCCCCGGTTCCCACCCCGAGTCCGACGATTCCGAGCTAGACGACCCCACGTCCGAAGACTTTCTCCTCCTCCTCCCCCTCCTCCTTCTCCTCCTCCTGTCCATGGTTTTTTTGAGACTCGTGTCGCAATCCGTCATTGTGGGACTCGTTTCAAAAACAGCCCCGAAGTCTCCCATCCCAACCGTGCCCCCGTGCTCTCCAGGATCGGCTGGTAGGGCCCGTCGGAGAAGATGAGATTCTCTCCTCCTGAGCCTCCTCACCCTCCTCATTATCATCCTCCTCATTATCCTTCTCCTCCTTCTCCTCCTCCTGTCCAGGGTGATGAGACTCGTCTCAAAATCAGGCATTCTGAGACTCGTCTCAAAATCAGTCCCGAAGTCTCCGACCCCAGCCACGCGCACTGATGGAGAGGTTAGGTGGCCCGCGGGCCAGCCCGACGCCCGGCGACGCTTCGCTCCCCCCCCTCCCCCTCTCCCCCCCCCCCCCCCCCCCCCCCCGCGCAGTTTCCCCATCTTGACCCGTGCCCGTCATTGGGAACGATGTCTCGAGAAATGTCTTCCCCTCGTGCCCCCCGCGGGGCGGGGGCGGGCGCCTCCGATCGGACATGAATCTCACGGCTATGGGGGTCAAACTGAGCACCCCCCCCCCTATAGCCCGACCCCTCCTCCCCCGTCCCCCGCCCCGCCTCCCCGCCGCCCTTTCCACGCCTTTGCCTGTCACTATCTGAGTTTCTCCTCTCCTCGCCTCGAGATTCTGAGCAGAGCGCGCGAACTTGCATGCGGCGCGTCGCCCGGCCGCGGCCTCGCCTGGTCGTGGGAGATTCGCGACGTCGGATCCCAGGGTCGGAAGGTGCTCTCAAGCAGCTGCGCCCCGCCGAGAGCGCTCCAACTGGGGCTCCAGGGCCGCCGCGAAAGACAGCCTGACGCCCGAGTGGCAATCCGAAGATCGTTCGGGGAAGGGCAGAGAGGGGGGGGGCAAGGCCTCCTCCTCCTCCTCCTCCTCCTCCCCCTCCTCCTCCTCCTCCTCCTCCTCCTCCTCCCTCCTCCTCCTCCTCCTCCTCCCCCTCCTCCTCCTCCTCCTCCTCGTCGTCGTCGTCCTCCTCCTCCTCCTCGTTCTCTAGCGCTGGCCCTGTGTATCCTTGCCTCTGGCCCCAACCATCAGCAACTATCAAGTTCGGCAGGAAGTGTCTCCGCTTCTCATTCGGGCCAACATGCCTTTCCGAGGGCGATGTTCCAGCTCAGGCGCGATCCAAATCACGTGCGCGGGGTTGTTCATTTTTAGACCCCCCTCCCGCGTCCGTTACAGTCACGCCCTGTTCTCCCTTCTCGCCCGCCCTTCTGCCCTCCCCGATGGGTGGCTCAGGCCGACGAGGAGAGGGGGGGGGCAAGTTAGGTGCGCTCGCGTCAACATCTGACATCCTACCCCTCCCTCCCATCCCTTACCATGGCGCTGATTTTCTCTATCCGCGGACGCGTGTCGTAGCGGACCTGTGGTTCCGCGCGCGTGTGCGTAGTGGGTGGTGGTGCGCGTGCGTGCGTGCGTGTGTGCGTGGTTGTGGTTGTTGGTGGGTGGTGTGTGTGTGTGTGTGTGTGTGTGTGTATGTGTGTGTGTGTGTGTGTGCGTGTGTGCGCGTGTGCTGTGGTGTGACGTGGTGTGGCGTCTTGGTGGTTTGGGCCAGGTGCGTACGTGCGTGATGGCGGTGGTGGTGGTGGCGGTGGTGGTGGTGTGTGTGTGTGTGTATGTCTGTGTGTGTGTGTGTGTTGTGTGTGTGTGTTGTGTGTGTGTGTGTGTGTGTGTGGTGTGTGTTGTGTGTGTGCGTGTGTACGTGTGTGTGTGTGTGTGAGTGTGTGTGTGCGTGCGTGCGTGCGTGCGTGCGTGCGTGCGTGCGTGCGTGCGTGCGTGCGTGCGTGCGTGCGTGCGTGCGTGCGTGCGTGCGTGCGTGCGTGCGTGCGTGCGTGCGTGCGTGCGTGTGCTGTGTGTGCGCGCGTGTGATGTGGTGTGACGCGGTGTAGCGTGGTGGTGGTGGGTGGGGTAGTGCGGTGGTGGTGGCGGTGCGCGGTGGTGGTGCGCGTGCGTGCGTGCGTGCGTTGGTGGGTGGAAGTGGCGGTGGGTGTGCGTGCGGCGGGGCGGGGCGTGGTGCGGCGCGGTGGTGGCGGGCGGATGGGCGCGCGAGAAAGAGGCCCGCGCTGGGGCGAGAACGCCATCCTGAACGACGGAGGCAAAACACCGATCCGAAAATGAGGCCCACGCTGCAGCGGGAGCACGATTTGGAACGATTCGGGAGCAGAATGAGGCCGGCGCCTCAGCGAGAGCAGCATTTTGAAAAAACGCAAGCGAAAACCCAACTCCCGGGAATCCTGTGTGTAAAAAACAGTACGCGGGGGGGGGGTCGAATATTCCCAGCACGCCATCAGGGGAAGAGGGAGAGTAGTATTCATATTGAGTAATTGTGGAAGAAAAGGAGGAGGAAGGAGGAGGAGGAGGAGGAGGAGAGCAGAAACAGTGAATGACGGATGGATGGATGGAGAGAGGGAGGGGAGATGGATGGGGGTGGATGGGGAGTCGGAGGAGGAGGGAGAGGAGGATGAGGAGGAGGAGGAAGAGGAAGAGGAGGAGGAAGAGGAGGAGGAGGAGGAGGAGGAGGAGGAGGAGGAGGAGGAGGAGGGGGAGGAGCAGGAGGAGGATTACGAGGATAAAGCATCAGGAGGAGGAGGAGGAATTCGGGGGAGAAGGAAAGGAGACACTAAGGATGAAGGCTAACGCTGAGAAGGACAGAAGAGGAATTATATAAATAGGAGGAGGAGGAGGAGTAAGAGGAGGGAGAGGAGGAAAAGGAGGATGCGGGATGAGGGAGGAGGGAGAACGAAGAGGAATGAGGGGCCCGACCCGTAGCCATTTTGGCTCAAACGCCCTGGATCAATCCAGTTGGCTCAAGCGGCGCGGGCGCGCTCGCGCAGACGCGCGACCCACGTGTCATAACAACAACCCGATAGTATGAGTGGCCATGTTTTTTTTCGCGTTGCAGTTTTTTATGGCTGTCGCTGGAGACGCCGCTTCCTAGGCTAACGAGTTACGTGTTAGAGATCATAGCTCTAACACTTACTTGTTGCGCTAACTCTCCAAGCGTTAGCCTGGAGTCCTCTGGGGGGGCGCAGGAGGGGGCGCGGCTGGCGCAGATCGTGGAATCGGCCGTTGCGCGCCGAGGCGCAGGAGGGGGTGCGGGAGACGCAGATTCGTCGTGGAATCGGCCATTGCGCGCCGAATCTGCGCCGCCCGCGCTTCGGCGCTCGATCGCGCAAGGGGGGGGGGGGCGGAGGCGGGCGCGGGAGAAGCAGATTCGGCGTGGAATCGGCGGATTCGGCGTCTCCTGCGCCCCGGGGCGTCTCGCCGACAGGGGGGGGGAGGGGTGCGCGGGGTGCGCAGATTCGGCGGAATCGGCCATTGCGCGCCGAATCTGCGCCGCCCGCGCTTCGGCGCTCGATCGCGCAGGGGGGGGTGGCGGAGGCGGGCGCGGGAGAAGCAGATTCGGCGTGGAATCGGCGGATTCGGCGTCTCCCGCGCCCCGGGGCGTCTCGCCGACAGGGGGGGGGGGCGAAGGTGCGCGGGGTGCGCAGATTCGGCGTGGAATCGGCCATTGCGCGCCGAATCTGCGCCGCCCGCGCTTCGGCGCTCGATCGCGCAGGGGGGGGTGGCGGAGGCGGGCGCGGGAGAAGCAGATTCGGCGTGGAATCGGCGGATTCGGCGTCTCCCGCGCCCCGGGGCGTCTCGCCGACAGGGGGGGGGCCAGGGGTGCGCGGGGTGCGCAGATTCGGCACGGAATCGGCCATTGCGCGGCGAATCTGCGCCCCCCGCGCCCCGGGGCCCACAGTCAACGGGGGGGGCGCAGGAGAGGGCGCGGGAGACGCGGATTCGGCGTGGAATCGGCCATTGCGCGCCGAACACGCGCCCCCCGCGCCATGGGGCCAACGGGGCAAGCGCGGGAGAGAGCGCGGGAGAGGCAGATTCGGCGTGGAATCGGCCATCGCGCGCCGAGTCTACGTCTCCCGCGCCTTGCGGAGTCGGCGCGCAAAGGCCGAGTGTCTTCTGCTCACCCTCCCGCCCTCCGCCCACTTGGTTGGGGGCCCCGAGGCGCGTCTCCCGCGCTTCTGCGGCGCTGATCCCGTGGATTCAGCGCTCGATCGGCCTTGCGCGCCGAATCTGCGGGCACAGACGGGGGCGAGCCCATTGCGCGCACACGATCAGCTGTTGTGCGCTTACAACTTCACGATTGTGCACGTCGCAATTGTGCCGTGACGACGCGCCCATAAGCTTTGTGGTGTAAGCGCACTGGGCGCGCGCGAGCGGGCGCGGGCGCCGACGCTGTGAAATCCCGGGAACTCGCGAGCGGGTTCGGGCGCCAACGCGGCGATCGGACGGGGAGCTCACCAGGAGCGCGTGGCGCCCACGAGCGGACGCGGGCGCCGAAGCTCCGAGCCTCGGGGAACCTACCCAGCGCACGGGGCGCCCATGAGCGGGCACGGGCGCCAACGTGGCGAGAACCCGGGAAATCCATTAAATTATTTACGCAACAGATTTTGTGCGCTCGGCGTTATGGTTGCGTGGTGGTCCATGGCTGCTGACTCGCGCGCTCAGTGTTTTGGCTTGCGTGCTCTGTCCCTTCTCTTCTCCCCCCCCCTCCCCGCGTTCCTCGTTCTTCCTCCGTGGGCTACCGATGCCCATGCTACAGTGGCTTGACCGCGGACGTTCGGCACGTCATCACTCGTAACTTCTCCGTCACAAACTGTGGCGCTGCTCCGCTGTGGCGACTCTGCGCCGCTTGCCGACGAGGCGGTCAGTTGTTCCAAGTTTTGCATGGGAAAGGAAGACTTCAGCAACGAAGGGCAGCCCCAAATGCAAGCACTGTTTCGGGAAAGCATGTCCAACCCCTTGGCACATAGCGCTTTCGGCTCAACTGGCCTCTGTGCCGCCCCGGCTCCATGGCCAAGCCGTTTCCCGGGGGACGGCGCCCGCCCGTGCTCCCCCGCGCCCATGGTGACGGCAAGCGGCGGCCCGGATGCCCCCGGGTGCTTTCGCCGCTGACTGGGCCAGCGTAAGGCTGCCCCACGCGTTGCACTCAGGGACTCGTCTCGCGAGCTCTTTCTCCCCCCTCTCCTTCCTTCCCCCTCTGTCCCGCTCCCCTGTTCTCGCTCCTCCCCCTGCTCCCTCTCTCTCTCTCTCTCCTCCCCCCTCGTACCCAATCCCTCCGCCTGCTCCTCCCTGTCCTCCTCCTGCCTCCCCGCTACCCCGCTCTTCATTCCCCCATCCTTCCTCGTGGACTGCGCGGCTTGACCGAGCCATCACAGGCTCGCCCCCCCCCCCCCCTCCCCTCCTCGTTTCCCCCTATGTCGAATCCTTTCCTTGCCTGAGCAGTGCTGGCGCTAATCCTTGATATTTTTTGACGTTTTTGGCGCTGTCTAGGGCTCTGGGGACCCCCCTCTCCCAAGCCTTCCTCGCCGGCAGGCCCTGCGCGGTGCAGCGTGCATTCGCGACGGCCGCCGCTGCGGCCGTGGCGTCTGGTTCCGAAACACGGCACCGGAGGGCGCCGCATGTGCGGGCAACATGTGTATCCAGTTCCACTGCGTCTTGGAGTTTTGAGTTCCTTTCCCCAGAAGACCAGAGGGGCAGTGGGTAAGTTTAAAGTTCTGACCCCTACAGAGGCTCGACTTTTATCCATATCCACTGCGCCTCGGCCTTTTGGCGCCACTTTTCAGAAAGTCCACGATGCAGTGGATATGGATATCAATCATGCCTGCAGCATGGTTCTCGCCACAGAGTCCCGGCCGCAAAGCCTTGGAATGGTCTCTTGGCGCCACGACGTCGGGTCACGCAAGCGTGTCCTGACGCGTTCCAGAAGAATCCTTGCCTTCGAAGATCGACGAAGTTGTCATCTCTTCCGCGGATGAAGGCCGCGAAAGGGCGGCGGAAGGTCGGCGGAAGTAAAACGATGCCGCCTCCGCCGGAGAAAGCCGGTGGAACCTCGGCGGAAGGCGGTGGAAGTAAAACATGCGCCCTTAAGAGATGGCATCGTTTTTGGGTTCGGGCGTTCCGAAAATTGCCACAAAGTCCCGGCCGCGGGGCGCTGGACTCGTTTCTGGGCGCCACGACGTCGGGTCACACAAAGGGGTCCTGGCTGTCCGACGCTTGTTTTTCCGCGCGCCCACGAGGAGCCGCCCGAGGCGCTCCCTGCATATGCGATGTGCTTTTCATTGCTTGGGGCTCCACACGCATGTGCGACTCGTACGTCGCCGAGCACTGCTTGCGCCGACGAGGTCTTTTTTTCCTCCTATACCACCGGGTCAGGCTATTCTTTCTTCGTGGCCGCTATCAGATCCTGACCAACATGTTGGAGTGTCTAGTCGCCACCGTGGGAACTCCGCAAGAGTGTCCTGCGCCCGCTACTGGGTCCAGCCGCCGCCGCCGTGGGATCAGCCCATGGTGTCCCAGCGTGGTGCTCTAGCCACAGTGGCCTGAAAGCGGATTCTTGGCCATTGCTATATGCTGGGGGGGAACAAAAACAAAAAAAATTATCCCAGTGCGACCCTACTTAGGAGTTGGAACCCCTAGGAAAACAGCATTAGCAGTAACAGTAACGCTATGCTAAAGCTAAGCTAAAGCTAAGCTAAAGCTAAGCTAAAGCTAAGCTAAAGCTAAGCCACAGCTAAGCTAAAGCTAAGCTAAAGCTGAGCAACAGCTAAGCTAAAACTAAGGTACAGCTAAGCTAAAGCTAAGCTAACGCTAAGCTAAAGCTAAGCTACATCTAAGCTAAAGCTAAGCTACAGCTAAGCTAAAGCTAAGCTAAAGCTAAGCTACAGCTAAGCTCAAGCTAAGCTAAAGCTAAGCTACAGCTAAGCTAAAGCTAAGCGAAACGCTAAGCGAAAAGCTAAGCGAAACGCCAAGCGAAAAGCTAAGCTAAAGCTAAGCTACAGCTAAGCTAAAGCTAAGCTAAAGCTAAAGCTAAAGCTAAAGCTAAAGCTAAAGCTAAAGCTCCCAGGGGACTGGGGGGAACCGCTCCCAGGGGACTGGGGGGAACCGCCCGGGGCGTGTTCCACTGCCTGGCCCCTTTAAGCTAAGAGAGTAAGAACCCTTCTAGGCAGAGCCTAGGTAGGGAGCTGGGGGGGGGAACAAAAACAAAAAAAACAACTATATGCTGGGTCTTCCAGTCAACAGTATACAGGGTTCCAAAAACCTGGTCCTGACCCGAACGTTGGCCATTTTCAGGCGTTGCCATGCAGTCCTGGCCACGGGGGCCCGGGTCGAAATGTTGTGGTTTGCCTTCGCCGCCACGGGATCGCAGCCGTGGCGCCCCGGGAGCCTGGCCAGAGGGCGCTGGCCGATTTGCAAGTCGACGCCGTCGGGTTCCAGAAGGGTCCCAGTCTAGTTTTTTCTTCGTTCATGTATATATGTGTATATATATATATATATATATATATATATACATACATACATATATACATATATATATATATGTATATGTATATGTATAAGAATGTATACAAACATGGGGACCCAACACCACAGGATGGTTGGGAAGAGCACGTGCCGGCGCCACGCGAGCAGGAGCGGGGGCGACGAACCGGCGGGCGCGGCGGCAGGGCGAGGGCGCGCCGCCCCCCCGCAGGCCGCTGGGGACAGGTCGTGTCCGTCTCTGCGCCCGGGGCGTGTGGTGCGGAAAAAAGAAGAAGGGTCCCAGTCTACTCCAGATTTCGTAAGAAAAGGGAGGGGGTCTGGACCCTCCAAGGCAAGCCATTTCAGACCTCCCCCTGTGGGAGAACCCTGCAAAACATCGTCCCCAGACCCCCCAGGCCCTCCAAGATAGCCTGGAAGAGACCCCCCCCCCCCGAAATGAGACCCCCCTCCCTTTATTACGAAATCTGGAGTAGCTGCTGTGAGGTCTGTTTGGTGCAAAGAGGGTCCAGGCCACAGGGCCCTGCCAGGATGCTGGAGCCGCGGGGTCGTCGTTTGCGTGTTGGGTGTTCTGGCCGCCCCCAGAAGGGCCTGACCGGTGGGTCTTGGCCTACACGTTGGGATGTCCGGTGTCAGAGTCGCGCCCCTCCCCCTGTTTGCACAGAGAGCTTTCTGGAACGAGGCATCCTTTGCGGAAGGCGGTGGATTCGGCATGTTTCAGTCATGTCACGACCTATTCTGTCCGTGGCGTTTGGGGTTGGTGCGCGTTCGGTTGTAATTTGAACAGTTCGCATCATTGCAAAGCTCCGGAAGCATCGGGCTGTACATCATTCTTGTGTTGTCCACGAAAAGGCTTGCGTCGCTTGTGCTTCGTCAAATGTTGGTAATGGTCTCACATTTGAAACGGTGTGCTTGGACGTAATACAATGTGAAGCACATGCGGCTCAGTTGCACAACATCCACACAGTGTCGTATTCTCAAAATGCGGCTAGGCAGTTGACGTCACATGGTTGCCCATCATACCATATTAATGTACACTACAGTGCATGGCACCACGCTGAACCACGTTACATTCCATTTGGCGACGTGCACGTGCCGCATTGGGCGTGGCGATTGCCGCCCCCCCTCCGACGGAAGACAGTGGAGGGCGGCGATGCACGAGACCTGCTGAGAATGATTCCCTTCTGCGAGATGCCATACCTCTCGCACCGCGTACTCTACTGCGCTGCATCGCAGTACTATGATGCCTGAAGCTTGTGCCAGTTGATGCTGGCGTATCACGCTGTGGGGAAAACATATATATATATATATATATATACATAGGCCAGATTTGAGGGCTCGCTTCGACGCGCTTCAATATTTATCTAGATACCTTGGGAGGTTAGGATACATAGTCGTTGGAGGTGAGGCGAGGGCCATGCTATGTTAAGATGCAGCATTCGCGAAACAAAATCCATCAGAGCGCATCGAAGGATATGGCTGTGCCGCAGTCCGAGGTGCAATGTGAGCAGATATTTGTGACAGAGAACTTTGAGTTCAGAAGATAATCCGACTCTGCGGCCCATGAGCGCAAGCTTGTTCGATCAGAGCTCCTCTAGGCCTCTGTTAGCCTCGGTGGGCTCTGTGGGAGGTCTTGCAAGGGTTTTGCCCCTACTGGGGTTATGTAGTTGCGTGCTGATTAATGTTGGGGTGTTCTTGTGCGTCTTGAGGCTCTCTGCGGCTGGCTCAGGGCTTTGTGCTCTCAACATGGGGCCCCGTGGGCTGTCTTGAACTCGAGTGCAGCCCGCTTAAGCCATGGTAGGCCCGTCTTGCCTGGTCTTGGGGCCCTCTTAGGCGGAATTGGGGTACTTTGGAGTTTCTTCTGGGCCGTGGGAAGGACCCGTAGGTATAGGCTAAGAATGGCATGCAGCATTGGGCGGGCTCTCTTTCTGAAACAGCCCAGGGCTGAGTGAGTGTCGCCTAGAAACTGGGAGTCTTTAGGTATGGCACTCATTTCGTCAATTTGGGATCTCCCTTGTGGCCCTCTTGATACCTGTTGGGGGTGTCTGTTCATAATGCCGGGGTTTTAGCACTCCTGGACATTTTTGGTGATCTCCTGGGTCTTTCTTGAGCCGTCTTGGAGCCCTCTTGTTGGGCTCTCTTTGAGCGCTCTTGGGCCGCCAGGGGTTCTTCGAGGCCGCCTTGATTTTCTCTCGGGGCCGTCTTGTGGCCCTCTGGGGCCGTCTTGAGCCTCTCTGGGAACCCTCTTCGGGGTCGTCTTGGGCCGTCTTGGCGCTTTCTGGAGGCCCTTTCGGTGCACTTTTAGGCAGCATAGGGGCAGTACTGGCGGTGTCTCGGGCCATCTTGGCCGTCTGGAGCCTAAAGGGGCGAGTATGTTAAAATATTTACAGATTTCGGGCAAATCGCGGATTTTGCTTTTCCGGGGGCCAACTAGAGGTCCGGTGGGAACTCGATTGAGCCGTCTTAGGGGGGCCATCTTGGACCGTCGTGTGGTGCATCGTGTTCAGTCTTGACCGTCCTTGAGGCCATCTTGGGGAATCTAGGAAGCCGGCTTGAGAGAAACCGAGGCCTGTTGGGGCCATCCCCAAGGGGATGTCTTGGGTCTTATTGGAGGCCTTGGGCGCCAGAGGACCAAGTGCCATGCGTGCCAT